TTCCAGGCGCTCAAGGTCCCGATCCCGAAGCCCCCATTACCGACATTAGGCAGAAGAGGGAGGGGTGGGGAGGACAAGGGGGTGGGGTAAGGGGCTTAAGCTGTGATGCTGCTGGTTTTATCTCTAGTGAAATAAAGTCAAGTTATTTAATTCCCGTCACCTGCCTCAGTGTCATCTGTGGTTGGTGCAGGGCTCTCCCACCCCAGGGCCCACTGGCCAGCAGAGCCAGCTGGGAGGACACTTGGGTTTACAGGCCAGGTGCCAGTGCTGCCTGTGTGGCACATCTTGCCCACATCTGATGGCTAAGTGGCAGGCCCCTGTTCATCAGAACCTGCCATGGCTCAGTGAGGCCTGCTCAGGCCAGGGCACAGTCCCAAGGGAGAGGGCCCAGACCTGCCCGCAGGTGTGGACACAGGGTGTCGGCCCAGCATGTCCCACATGGGCCCCTTTGCCTGGGGCCTCTGGCGACAGGTCCAGGCCTCTCCCCGCCCTCGCCTTGGCCCCTGCCCTGGCCTCGCCCGCACCAGGAACTGGGAGCGCGGCTTTCTGTGCCAATCCTGCGGCGCCGCAGGCACTGGGGGCTGGCCGTTCCCTCACCCCCTCACTCCAAACCGGTCTGTCCAGCTGTCCACCCCAAGGAGGGGAAGCCTCCTGCCCCACCTCAGCACCCCAAGAAAGCCAGAGTCCAAACGGGTGTAAATAAAAGGGGAAATTTACTTGGAAAAGGGGGCAAAAACGAGAAGGTCAACAGGTGTTGGTGGCGGTGCCAGGGACAGTGGCGGCCTTTCCTGGGCTCAGGCCTCCCCGGCTGCCTCAGGGTGCTTCTGCCGAAGGTGTTTGTCCAGGGTGGCTCGCAGGCCGAAGGGCACATGGCAGTGAGGGCACTCGAAGCGGGTGCTGCCAGGTGTCATGCCGTGCATGCGGCGGTGGCGGTTGAGCTTGCTGCTCTGGGCGCAGGCGTAGTTGCAGAGCTCACAGGTGTAGGGGCGCTCCCCAGTGTGCGAGCGCCGATGCACTGTCAGGTTGCTGCTGTTGGTAAAATGCTTCCCACAGAACTCGCAGCTGCCCCCGGGCCCACGGCTCTTGCCCCCTGACTTGGGCATCTTTTTGGGTGATGCCTTCTGGCTGTTTGCAGGGTCAGTTCTCTGTTCTGCGGTGATGGCTCCCCAAGTGTCTCCACCAGGGCCAGCTTGAGCCCCACTGCCAGGAGCCCCGGGTTCTTGGACACCTGCTGTGGCGGCGGCTCCAGCCCCCTCACCACTGCTGCATGGGAGGGTGCTGGCGGGGGCAGCGGCATGGGCAGCCGGCTCCGGAGGGGCCGCAGAGGCCTGCTCCTGGCTGGTGTCCGCCATGATGGGACTCTGGGGCGGCACCTGCCGGTGGGTCTTCTTGTGGCGGTTGAGCTTGCTGCTTTGGGCGCAGGCATAGGGACACTGGTCGCATGCATAGGGCCGCTCCCCTGTGTGCGAGCGCATGTGCACCTTGAGGTTGCTGAAGGAGCTGAGGGTCTTCTTGCACACGGGACAGGTGGGGCTCCGCCGGGTGAGGCCACTGCCACTTGCACGGGGGCTCTTGGCCTCAGCTGCTGGCCCCACCACTGCCGACACGGCTGCAGCCACCTCAGCCAGGCCCAGGAGCGGGGCCTCTGGGGCCTCTGATTCTGTCTGGTAGATGGACAGTCCATGGTCCCACTGGGCGTGACGCAGCAGCTTCCAGGCCACTGTGAACTGTCTGCCACAGCGCAGGCAGCTCAAGGCCTTTAGCTCCTCTCGTTCTGGTAAGAAAAAGAGGCAGAGTGTTAGTGCGGAGAGGAAGGAGTCATGGGGTTTGCAGTTCACAGCTGCCAGCTGGACACCTTCTGTGGGACAGGCACTCCTGCAGGGCCAAGGACTTGGCAGTAACAAGACACACACACACCAGAAGGACCAGGAAGCTGATGCTCAGAGGAGGAGTGGACATGAAAAATCTGTGGAGTGGGTGCTGAGTACCTGAGGCTTTGTGTTTGAAAACCAATTTTTTTTTTTTGGAGACAGTCTCGCTCTGTCACCTGGGCTGGAGTGCAATGGCTCAATGCAAGCTCTGCCTCCTGGGTTCACGTCATTCTCCCGCCTCGGCCTCCTGAGTAGCTGGGATTACAGGCACCCGCCACCATGCCCGGCTAATTTTTGTATTTTTATTAGAGACGGTTTCAACGTGTTAGCCAGGATGGGAAAACCATTTTTTTTGAAGAGTCTCACTCTGTCACCCAGGCTGGGGTGCAGTAGTGCAATCTCAGCTCTGCAACCTCCACCTCCCGGATTCAAACTATTCTCATGCCTCAGCCTCCCGAGTAGTTGGGATTACAGGCGCCCGCCACCACGCCTGGTTAATTTTTGTATTTTTAGTAGAGATGAGGTTTCACCATATTGGCCAGGCTGGTCTCAAACTCTCCACCTCAAGTGATCCTCCCACCTTGGCCTCCCAAAGTGCTGGGACTACAGGCCTGAGCCACTGCGCTAGGCCATGTGTTTGAAAACCTTTTGAAAAGTTAGGTTGGCTGGGCACGGTGGTCAAGCCTGTAATTGGGAGGCCGAGGCAAGCGGATCACGAGGTCAGGAGATCAAGACCATCCTGGCTAACATGGTGAAACCCCGTCTCTACTAAAAGTACAAAAAATGAGCTGGGCCTGTAGTCCCAGCTACTTGGGAGGCTGATGCAGGAGAATGGCGTGAACCCAGGAGGCGGAGCTTGCAGTGAGGTGAGATAGCACCACTGCACTCCAGCCCAGGTGACAGAGTGAGACTCCGTCCCAAAAAAAAAAAGTTACGTTAATTCAGTGAGCGCTTCCTACATGCTAGGTGCTGAGCCATAGCTCATAGCCCAGCTTTCCCTCAGGACAGGAAAATAAGATCACCATTTTCCAGACAGGAAAACTGAGGCACAGAGAGGCATTTTCCCAGGGCGGCACAGCTTGGAAGGGGTAAAGCTGGGATTTCAATCCAGACTGCTGGGGGAGGGGGAGAGGGCAGAACAGAGGCTTGCTTTTATTTTGCTTTAAATTTTTAATTTAGTATTTTTTAAAGAGATGGGGCTCTGCTACGTTGCCCAGGCTATTCTTGAACTTATGGCCTGAAGTAATCCTTTCACCCCAGCCCCTCAAAGTGCTGGGATTACAGGCATGAGCCACCATGTCCGGCTGGGAACAGAGGTTTTTGAATAAGATTTTTGGTTTAGGCTGGGCGCAGTGGCTCACATCTGTAATCCCAGCACTTTGGGAGGCTGAAGCGGGTGGATCTCTTGAGGTCAGGGGTTTGAAACTAGCCTGGCCAACACGACGAAACCCTCTCTCCACTAAAAATACAAAATAGCCAGGCATGGTGACAGGCACCTGTAATCCCAGCCACTTGGGAGGTTAAGGCAGGAGAATCGCTTGAACCCAAGAGGCAGAGGTTGCAGTGAGCCAAGATCCTACCACTGCACTCCAGCCTAGGTGACAAAAGCAAGATTCTGTCTCAAAAAAAAAAAAAAAAAAGGAATTTTGGTTTAATAAAAATAATTTTTAAAGTAATTGAGATATCTGGGCGTGGTGGCTCATGCCTGTAATTCCAGCACTTCAGGAGGCCGAGACAGGCGGATCACCTGAGGTCAGGAGTTTGACACACTAAGCCTGGTCAACATGGTGAAACCGTGTCTCTACCAAAAATACAAAAACTCGCCAGCCATGGTGGTGCACACCTGTAGTCCCAGCTACCTGGAGGGCTGAGGCCGAATCACTTGAACCTGGGAGGCGGAGGTTGCAGTGAGCTAAGATTGTGCCACAGCCTCCAGCATGGGTGACAGAGTAAGACTGCCTCAAAATAATAATAATAATAATAATAATGGGGATAGCTACAGAGAAAGCTTAGCGGCCACATAGTAAACAGGTGGTAGTGACCTGGGTTCCCCACCCTCTACATGGATCTCAAATTGAGAGCCCCCAAACCTGAACTTGGATTTTTATCTGGACCTTCGGGGTACTCTCAGAGGACACTTCCTAACTGAACTAGCCTTTCCATTTTTCAAATTCTAGTCTTGGATGAGACAACCTTTGTGATACAACCAGTCCCGGGTCAAGAACACAGGCCTGGCCTGCACTCAAATTCAGACTTCTCTGCTCCCTAGTTGTGTGACCTTGGGCAAGACATAGTCCTCTGTGTGCCTCAGTTGCTAGAATTCAGGGACCCTAGAGATCCCCTCCCTTTCAAGGGTAGTTGTGACCTCGCTTGGGGGATGGTTGAGAGCTTAGGTCCACATAAGCGCTCAAACTGCAGAGCCTGTGAAACAGTGTTTTGTTCCAGCAATTCTATCACAGACCCTCGCTCCCTCGCTCGCTCACTCGCCAGGCCACTCTCCATGCTCCAACTCTAAAGCCGATTCAATCAGTCACAAGCCCCTCCTCTTTCCCACCACCAGACCCTCCCTGGCCCAACCCTAAATAATTCCACTTCTCAAAAGTCTCAGGAGGGCAAGGGGTGGGGGCTGGAAATTAGGTTTGGATTAAGCCCTGCAGCCAACACTGACTAAAAGCTCACCGAGGGTCAAGTGCCATGTGAAGGATTTTAATTCCCTCCCAAGAGGAGGAACCCTGGTGTCCAGCACCGGGGAGCTCGCTCAAACCAGGGGATTCCCACCACGCAGTGCTGGGAGATTCCATCACCAAGGGAAGCCAGAAGCCCCTTCCCTGGCTCAGAGCAGTTAGCTGTACTAGCACCTCAATCAGAATTGACAGACAGGAGGAGGTGGCAACCTCCCCATTCCAGCTGGCCTCCACTCCCCCTCCCCCCGGGCCACTGCCCTCCCCAGAGGTCCCCCCCTACTGCCACCCTGGTCCAGCCACCTGGCCAGTTATTTCTGGCCAAGGGGAAGGAGAAGTGAAACCAGGTTGGGGTGTGTGTGTGGGGGGCAAAATCCCGGGCTAGTCTTCTGGGGCTGGCCACACCCTGTAGGCGGCCCTCCTTCCCTGCCCAACCCCCCTTGCCCCCCCTTCCCACCACCACCACTAGTCCCTGCCCCAGGACGGGCAGGCCCTGGCCACGCCTAGGCTGCACCCGATGGGAAGCGAGAAAGGGGAAGTAGTGCTCAGTGCCCTGCCGTCCAGCCCAGTCCCTCTCCAGCAGGAAGCCCAGCCCTTGAACTTGAGAGGGGGACTGCACCCGGCTTTACTCACCTGAGCCCTGGCCGCGGCTGGGGCCTCTGAAGAGCTGACAGCCCAGCTTCTTGTGGTCCATGAAGGCAGTGATGGCCTCCAACGGGAAGGTCTGCAGGCAGCGGCCGCAGGTCAACAGATCTGGGTGTTTGTCGGTCCAGGGCTGGCGGTCTGCAGGGAGGAAGCGGGTGGTGAGCGTGGGGTGGGGCCAGGATGGGGGCTGAGGGTGCCGAAGGAGAGGGGAAACCGAAGGTCAGAAGGGAGCCTGGGGGGCAGGACGGGGCGAAAGAGATAAGGCAGGGCGAGGGGCCCATGCCCAAAGGGAGGGGTCCCACCCGAGGGTCAAAGGTAAGGGAGGCTGGGCCCAGGGCCCGGGGCGCTCACCGGGAAGGTTCGGGGTCAGTGGTGTCCGCAGAGTCCACGGGTTCCGCGCGCCGAGGGCGAGAAGGGCGGCCCCGGCGAGCATGGGGCCAGAGGAGTGGTGGGGTTCGCCGCCGAACCGCCCCTCCGAGGACACCTCCTTCGGGGAGAAGGACCCCAGTCTTGGGGCCTGTTGGGGCCGCGCGTCTGGCTCGGGCTTGAGTTCGATGACGAGGTCCTGCATTTCCATCTCGTCGTCTGGGTTGGCTGCGGGCGCGGGCTCTACTCGGCGGGGCGCGCTGCCGGCCTTGCGGCGGGACATGAGTCGCGGGCCGGGCGAGCGGGCGAGCGGGCGAGCGGGCGGGCGGGCGGAGGACGCACGAGCGGAGGACGCGCGGACCGTGCGCGCTCAGGTGAGTGACTGCGGCGACCCGCTGCGAACTCTTACACGTGCTGGCCGGGCCCGTGGCTCCGCCTACCAGGGCGGGGCCTGATGGGAGGGGACCGAGCCGCGCTGCTGGGGCCCTGCCGGCGGCCTAACTCAATCTAGGCAGTGCCCCCTGCGCTTGGCTTAGTGACCAAATTTAATCACACCGAATTCCCACAAGTCATTGAAACAGCTATCCCTGATCCCATTTTAGGGCGGGTGAAACTGAGGCACGGGATGCCCACACACACCCCCAAGCGAGAAAATAGTCGGTCACGTTTGTTATTAGGTGCTTAATAGTAATCTGGGCTATTTCATTAAATGCATTACAATAAAAATTCATTTTGCAAGCATTCACTGAGTGCCTCCTGTGCGCCAGACTGTTTGAAGCACTGGGAATACAGGAGGGAACAAACAGACGATAATGTTTGCCTGCACGGAGTTTAGACGGTGGGGGAAGACACTATAAACATAATTATGTAAAATATAGATGGCCTTTGATGATGACCAGTGCCATGGAGCAAAAGAAAGCTGGAAAGGCGGAGAGGGTTACTGGGGTTGAGGGATTCAATTTTCTCCCCTGTGCTGGAAAGGGCATGGTGGATCTGAGGTTGGAGGGAAGGAAGCCAGCCAGTGGACCTGGGCATTGAGGAATTACAAGGAAAGGGAGAGGCAATACGGGTTGGGTATTGAGTTCAGTGAAAACATGGGGGCAGATCCAAGCAATCTTTTGATCGCTTTAAAGTCTTTTGGTTTTCCTAAGACTGGAGCCTTGGGAGGGTTTTGAGCAGAGGAGAACTGTAATCATACACATCAACTCTGTTCCTAGACCAGAAGTCGCTATTAAAACCAAATAGCCAAGCAGTTCACCTGCCTCCACTCCGCCTCCTTGAACTTCCCTCCCCCAAGCAGTTCTCTCTGCTCACTGTTTGAAGTGGCATCGACACCCTGCCCCACCCTCAATCCCTGATGAGTATTCTTTCCTTCCTGGCACCAACCGCATGGCAGTATAGAACTGCTTGTGGACTGTCCTCTCCCCCACCCAGTGCAAGCCCCCTGAGGTCAGGGCCAGAATCTGTTCTCCCCCAGCTGTCCCCAGCCCAGATGCTGATTTCAGATGCTGATCTCTTGGAATTCTGCATTGTTATTCAGGTCCGGGCTCCATTGTCCTCCTGAGAGCAGAGGGCCCTGACCAACAGTATCTAAAGTAGCCCCACCCTGCTGGAGGCCTTGCAAATTACACTCCATGACCTCCATCTGTCCCCAGTCCCCTCTTGGATCTCACTTCTCCATCTGTCGAAGGAGGTAGGGCAGGTTGGAACTAGAGGGTTATCTGAGGTGGTTTCTTCTTCAATCCTGCCTTCTCTGATCACCCTTTTTTTTAAAAAAAGAAAGTAATTTTTAAATTTTCAAAAAAATTTTGTTTTTAATAGAGACAGGGACTTGCTTTATTGCCCTGGTTGGTCTGAAACTCATGGCTTGAAGTGATCCTCCTGCTTCAGCGTCCCAAAGTGCTGAGATTACAGATGTGAGACGCTGTACTCAGCCTCAGATCACTCAATTTTAAGTTCCATGGAACCCAGCCACCCACTATCCCATTGCCCTTATTTTACTCTTTTTTTTTTTTTTGAGATGGAGTTTTACTCTTGTTGCCCAGGCTGGAGTGCAATGGCACGATCTCAGCTCACTGCAACCTCCACCTCCGGGTTCAAGCGATTCTCCTGCCTGAGCCTCTGGAGTAGCTGGGATTACAGGCACCCGGCTAATTTTTGTATTTTTAGTAGAGACAGGTTTTCACCATGTTGGCCAGGCTGGTCTCGAACTCCTGACCTCAGGTGATCCACCCGCCTCAGCCTCCCAAAGTGCTGGAATTACAGGCGTGAACCACCGTGCCCGGCCTATTTTATTCTTTATACATCACTTTGATCAAACACTTTGATCTTGTTTACGTATTTGCTCGTTTTACCCTATTCTGTCCCTTCTACCCCCACTAGAACATGGGTTCTAGAAGGCAGGATGGGAGTCTGTCTTGTTCATACATACAGCCCCTACTCGTTCATAGTTAAGTCAACAAATATTTATTGAGTACCTACTATGTGCCTGATATTCTTTCAACAGATATTTGCAAAGCACCAAATTGTGTACCTGGCACTAGGCCTTGGTGATCTAGTGGAAAGCAAACGCCCACAGGATCCCTGCGTAAATAGGACCCCGCATGGAGAAAGTGAATTCTGACTGGGCCTGGAATAGGGAGATTCATATTCCCCACTCAAGGCCTCAGTTTCCCCCTTTGTAAAATGATACTGCAGGGAGAGCTGGAGGACAAAATGACCGCCTCTGATCCAGCCCAGCTACTTTCTTCGTATGCGGCATCTGAAACCATGATCTCCAGGTTTCCTGTAGAGGAGCGGGGGTTCCCACTGGAAGCGAGGGGTAGGAGTGCCTACGTGTAGGGGGATGGGGATGCAAAGACCGAGCTCTGCCCTTAACCCAACAGGGAGGAAGTCTTCCTCTCTCTGAGCCTCAGTTTCTTCCTGCCGCAAATGGGCATCCCAGACGCCCCCAACTCGCAGGCAGGAAGATCGGACCAAAGTGCTCCGCAAAGCCGCGAGCCAGCCCGCGACCACGTGGGGCAGTAGCGGCGGCGCGGGCGGAACCCAGGCTCCGCGGCTCGCGGCCTGCCCGGGCCTCTGCAGCTGGGACGCCGGCGGAAGTGGGGGCGCCAGTAGCCGCGGACCTCGGTGAGTACAGAGTGGTGGGGGGTCGCCGGCAGGTTCCCTCTCCCCGGCCCCAGCTCTGGACGCCTACCCCCGTGCAACGCCCGGAGTAACGGAAAGAGGCAGGACCGCGCCTGCAGCGCCGGCTGGAGGGACGTTCTGGTCCCCAGACGCTAGTATCAGGGACTGTTTGGCGATCGCCCGCTGCGGGAATGCCCCACGCGGGTGGGGTGAGAAGGGAGAAGGCGGAAAACTCCCCCTCCGGAAAATAATAAATGGCCACAATAACAGCAGCATCGGTGGCAGTCATCCCGCTTTACCTGGAGCGGAATCGCTCGGTCTGAGCCAGGAGGTGGGAAGAACGTCCAGTCCGAACGCCCAGGGCGGTGTGGGGAGTGGACGCCTGGGGGCCGGGAGGACCTGCTTAGTATAATAAAAGGAGAGCAATGGGTGGTCAGGGCAGAATTGAAAGGAAACTGACCGGCCCCAGGGGAGAAGGGGAGGGGAGAGATTCTGTGCTTGGGGTTCTGACCTTCTCGGGTGGCCCCATTTAACTAATTTGCATCAAGATTCAGCAGCCGACGGTGTGTGTATGTGTGTGTGTGTCTGTGGACACGTCAGCACCTTGGTTAATTAATTAGGTCTGGTGGCTTCTCAGTTGACAACTCAGCTGGTTCCCCACCCTGGCAATTGTGAAGAGTTGGCCAAATGTTTGTCCACTGAGCTGATCTCTTCTCTGGAGCACCAAGGCTACCAGGAGAGACGTCTGTGAAACCCTTGCCCCTGCCATTGACCTAAGTGTTGGGCTCTTGAATGTAAAAGACTAGTTTTGCAAGTCGTGGGGGATGGGCTTGGGCATTTTTCCCTGAAATCTTCGGAAATCCTTGCCTTGGAGACTGAAAGGATAAAGGCCTCTGGGGCCAGGTCACCAGGGAGAATGGATAATGCTTGCCTCTGCCCTCCTGGGCACACCCTCTGTGACCTTTCTTTAACCAGTTTCTTATCAGGTTACACCTTGTCTCCACGGTCTGTCTTTCTGCATGGGGCACAGGGGAGGGCCTGAGTTTGCTCCCTCTTCCTCCACCCTCCAGCTCGCACCAAGGAAATTATTATTATTTTTTTTTGAAACAGAGTCTCTCTGTTGCCCAGGCTGGACTGCAGAGGGGCGGTCTCCGCTCACTGCAACCTCCGTCTCCCTGGTTCAAGCGATCCTCCTGCCTCAGCCTCCCTCGTAGCTTGGATTACAGGCATGTGCCACCACACCCAGCTATTTTTTTTGTATTTTTAGTAGAGACAGGGTCTTGCCATGTTGGTCAGGCTGGTCTCGAACTCCTGACCTTAGGTGATCCGCCCCCCACCCCCAGCCTCCCAAAGTGCTGAGATTACAGGTGTGAACCACCGCACCCAGCCCAAGGAAAGATTAGACCTGCCAGCTTCACGGGCCACTTTACGAAAATGGGGATTGCATCAGTATGACCAAATCTCTCTTGGGTTTTTTTCCTAATGGAGAATACAAGGCCCCATACTGACCCTCCCTTAATTTCATTTTATCCAGGGATTTAACAGAATTCTTTGGCCACTCTAATCCTCATCTAATTCATTTAGTAAGTACTCACCCTGGAGACTA